CCAGGATGCCCACTCGCACTCACCCAAACCTCAACAACGAAGTGGACCCCAACGTAGTGTTCGTCACCAAGAAGAGCACCATCTATCACCGCAAAGGATGCGGTAAGATAATTAATTCAGCCGAGCAAGACGTCAAGTCCTACCAGAAGGCAGAGGTTGAGATGTTGTTCAAACCATGCTCGACGTGCAGACCGTAATATCCTCAACCCCATCCCCATTGGCATCAGACCTTATGGGCGCTGAGTAGGAACATGCGGCTTAGATGCACCACCGACGCGGACTTTAACGCATGCAGAGCATCTTTCAGTTTTGAGAGAGTGTGCAATTGCGCCAAAACGTCTGACAATCAGTGTTCAACGCAGTTTCACACAGGGTCATTCCACGACCGGATGAACCACAGAACAAGCGTCAAACAGCTGCCTTCGATGCTGAGCGTCAAGTGTCTGTGCAATGTCATCCTAGTGTGTGCGAATCATTTGTCGAACGAAAGAGACTGGAGCCGTAAGGTGATGTAACATTTTCTTTGATTTGCTGCCTTGTGATCGTCGCGTGCAGCTGCTTTGCATAAAGAGTAGCTGTTCCCATCACCTTGCTACACGCGCCTCCTTAACATCGGCAACACGCTCCCATGACCAGCCACGAGATCATGTACCACTCCCGCTACATCCAGACCAGGGCGGACTTCGAGTATGTGATGAGTCACGAGGAGAGCACCAAGCGGGTGCAGGACATGCTCCTGAAGTACCAAAAACGGGATGATTACCATACACCCAGAAGCAGATCGTGTCCAAATCCCAATCGACATCGGAAGCATCACAAGTACGGGAAGGTCAAAAAGATGAAATGCCACCCAACGGAGGACAGATATCTCGCCTGCCCAATTTGCAGGATTGCTTCCAGAACAGTGCGACAATGGGAAATCCACCTGCTAACGACACCGCACAAACAAGCCAAACAAAGAGCTGAAAAGTTCGTGGACTTGGACTACCTCTACGTGTGAATTCCATGCTCTCAATCCATTTGTCGCCCCGAAAGGGGTGTGTGTGGCACACCGCTGTACATGCGGGAACGTCAACAAGCACTGCATACGAGAGCGAAAAGAAGCATGAATTTGCGATCTAACAAGTTTTCTGCACATGATGTTCAGCAGGGGGCAGGAGCACGGCCATGGGTCTCCTGCTAACAAAGACGCCCATGGTTCGTGGTGAAGCAGTTGGAGACGTCCAACTGTGTACCTGCGTGATCGTCTTAGACATCCTGTAATGCAAGCTGTGCATTGGTTCCGTCCTCGCTGTTGTTCAACTACCTCAACCACAACGCAGTTTTCAACCTGGATTTCGTATTTTGCTTGGCATGTGGGTGAATTCTTGATGCCGTGAACATGACACACCCCAAAACCCCAGAAGACCTCGAGCCCATCAAGCTTGAGTGGATCGTGATGCTTTCAGCTTGTGTGCTGTGAATAGCAGCTGAGCAGGATTGCGTGAGCATGTCATTTTAGCATGGTGATGGAACATGTCGAGCATGATGATGGACGAGAGCATGGAGAAGGTTCGGAACATGAGTGTTAGAGCATATGAGCATGCACTGTGGAGCATCGGAGCGCGATAAGCAGAGTTGCGGGAGCATGAAGTGTGCAGCATCAGAGCACGACTCGCACAGCATCTGAGCGCGATGAGCAGAATTGTGCGAGCATGACTTGTGGAGCATCAGAACATGAATTGTAGAGCTTCTGAGTGTGATGAGCAAGCTTCTGAGCGTGGTGAGCAAGCTTGGTTGAGCATGAGTGGTGGAGCATCAGAGCATGACTTGCAGAGCATCTGAGCGTGACGAGCACAGTTGAAGGAACATTTTAAGCACCTCATAGTATATTTCATATAAACCTTCATTCGCGACCCTTCTACCTCATCACTTTCGGATTCCTCTACTACCTCTTGCTTGAGCATCTCTACCTTCGGAGCATCTCCATCTACCAGTTTATGTGGAAGCACTAAAACAAAAAGTGTGTGTGTGTGTGTGTGTGTGTGTGTGTGTGTGTGTGTGTGTGTGTGTGTGTGTGTGTGTGTGTGTGTGTGTGTGTGTGTGTGTTGTGTGTGTGTCTGTGTGTGTCTGTGTGTGTATGTGTGTGTCTGTGTGTGTGTCTGTGTGTGTATGTGTGTGTGTCTGTGTGTGTCTGTGTGTGTCTGTGTGTATCTGTGTCTGTCTGTGTGTGTCTGTGTCTGTCTGTGTGTGTATGTGTCGTGTGTGTCTGTGTCTGTCTGTGTGTGTCTGTGTCTGTCTGTGTGTGTCTGTGTCTGTCTGTGTGTTGTTGTGTCTGTCTGTGTGGGTCTGTGACGTCTGTGGTGTGTCTGTCTGTGTGTGTCTGTCTGTGTGTGTCTGTCTGTGTGTGTCTGTCTGTGTGTGTCTGTCTGTGTGTCTGTCTGTCTGTGTGTGTCTGTCTGTGTGTGTCTGTCTGTGTGTGTCTGGCTGGTGTGTCTCTGTGTGTGTGTGTCTGTGTGTCTCTCTCTGTGTGTGTCTCTCTCGGTGTCTCTCTCTTGTGTCTCTCTCTGTGTGTCTCTCTCTGTGTGTCTCTCTCTGTGTGTCTCTCTCTGTGTGTCTCTGTGTGTCTCTGTGTGTGTGTGTGTGTGTTTTGTTTGTGTGTGCGTGGGTGGGTGGGGGGGGGGGGGGGGGGAACGTGCCGTTCATATATATATATATATACAATGTATGTATGTATGTATGTATGTATGTATGTGTGTATGTATGTATGTATGTGTACACACACACACACGCTTGTGTTTGTTCGTTTGTTTGTGATTTTGTCAGGGTGCCCTCATGATTTTTGAGGCCAGAAGGAAGCTTCTGGATAGTCCGTGCCCAAAATGTACAGCCAAGAAAATCTTTTTGCCCACGGCGACAGACAAAGATCTCCGCGCTGCTCAGGCTTTACACAGGCCAGTCAGGTCGACGCCGCGCAACACCAAGAGATTCGGAAGATTGCGACATTCACACATCTGACAATGAATTCCATGTTGTTCAATGCTCTTATTCGAGGCCCGACCTCTCCCGACCCGACCTCTCCCATCCTCGCCCATCTTCTCTCTGAGGCACCTTCATTGCCGCCATTCAGTGCAGCCTTGTCTACTGCCGAGGTGCCCGCTAATTCCCCGTGTTTATCTCTTTTATCCCTCTGTTTAGTGAGTTGTTGATTTTGGGTGTGTCACATATTTCAATATTTCTCAATGCCCGCTTCTGGCGAAGTCATCTTGCCTCACTTTTGTCTGGCATTGTCCAGGCCGACCTACGACTGGCATGAGACGTGCAAACGCACAGATCGAGGGATCAAGGATTTCGATGCGGCTTTTGAGGAAGCTCGAGCGGCCGAGTCCCTTCAATCAGGGCCCGGCAACCTGCCCTTTAGGGCACAGAAGATAGCCTTGCTTTGTTAGGGTTCAAAGTCGCAAGGCTGCAAAAATGCAGTCCATGCCGCAAACCTATTTCTAGATCTTCGAGACTCGATTTCAGTGCGAGCTTCTTGTCGCGCTCGGCAATGGTCGAGGGCGTTCACAGGGCCCTGGTCGCCAGGGCACCTACTCCCTTTTCACCGCTTCCCAGCGAAGCAGCTCAGGGATACCAGTATTGCAGAAAGCAAAGAGTCAGCAGACTGGCAGAGCAAAGTGACAGCTGTTGCGATGATTGCAATGTGTGCCGGTCTGAGACGTCTCCGAGGCTATCCGAGCCCTAGTGAAGGCCGGGGACCGACATTTACCGGAGGCTGGTGATGGAGAGAAAGGGCCTCTCCGCGTGTCATCTGCGGCTTCTGTGTTCTGATTCTGTGGGACTATCATCACATGCAACCAGAGAAGGAACGTGACCGAGAGATGCTCGTGATATCTTGTATCTTGTGCTGCCTGTCTGCACACTTTCAAGGATTGTGTAGGCCTTCCATGTGCATATGGCGCGGGCATCACGAATGGGTCAGCCTTAATGAACCGTCGATGTCAAGGCGGGCAGTTTGGGCAGCCTATGAGGGTCATTCTCCAATTCATTCTATAGGTATTTCTGGGCTGTGGTGCTGTGCTGCTGTGCTGCTGTGGCGCTGTGGTGCTGTGGTGCTTTGGTGCTGCGCAAGGTGCCTCGGCAGGCTTCTGGTGCTGGTAGCCTGCTGCGATGGAGCCTCCATCGGAGCCGCCCGGGAGTCTGAAGCGTTCGACGCTGTTGGTCGGAGGCCCAGATCAGACGTCTAAACGTCGATTATTGAAGATCCGGTAGTCCGTGAGCACCTGGATGCTGGCATCATGTTGTATCCATGCTTTGAGCTGCTTGATGCATGTGAGCAACAGTTTGCATTTGTCCGCGTGCTTGCTCTCGTTGCCGCACAGATTTAAATCTCGACGACTCATTACGATCGCCTTTCTCCACTGCCCAAGCTTTCAAGCAAAGCACATGAATCATGAATCTGTATCACACAGCATCTCCGCTGAGAACAGTTGCAGATGCGGGCTTAAGGGCTTCCCGCTGCGACGCCTCGATTCCGGGTGCTGAAAGGTATATCGCTTCCTAAAGTGCGCTGTGCAATGCTGCGCAGCTGGGGAGAACTTCGGGTTCCAGCACGCGGGGAAGTTGTTTCAAGTTTTTTGCGAATTGTGCAGGCGTTAAAATGTCTAGGACTGGGTCGCTGCCGGCATGCTCTCCAGAAGCAATGCGGCATAGTGCGATCTCGGTTGATATCCTTCATTCTTTGTGCTTCGCGAACCAGCATGAGCCCATCCATGAATCACAATTTGATGGTAGCCCAGTGATGCTGAAAAGACCGAAGCAGAGATGAAAGTGCCCTGCCATCCCAAGATGGTGCAATGGTGCGGCGGCACGGCTATGAGGACAGCCCATTTCTTGGGAACATCAAGTCTTGCAACGATTGTAGGAGAGCGTTTGTCTGGCATGGTTCCTTTGCGAGATTGCCACGCAGAACACAGGGAAACAAACACACACACACACACAACCAACAAGCAGCTTCGGAGGCCGTCGCAGTCAGCTTTGGTGGGGACATCAGTGGGCGCGAGGGAAGGCAAGAGGTGATGACACGAAGTGCAGACCATGCGCAGCAATGTTATTCACAAGTTTTCTAGGAAGTTTTGCGCCCCCTCGCCTGGCGCTTTGCAGGCGGGGCCAGCATGGCCAACGCGACCAGCAGGTGGCGGCCTCAGAAGACACTGAGTTCCCTTCCTTAGTTCATTTGGCTTGCTTCCTCTTCCCATTCTCCGGCTGAACCTCGTATGGAATGTACTGGCCTCCATACGTACAGGATGATGAATCCAATAGCAGCAGCCGGAGCAAAGGTAGATTCAGGTAGACAGTCTTGAAGAGCTTGTTGTCATTTGGGACCAAAGATGGTCAGCTTCCTTTGCTCGGAGGACACGCTATGGACACACCAATTCCCAGTACGTGCAGTCATCATATCGTTTGAGATTCCTGTGAAGGCGGTGAAGGCTAGGAACGAGGCCACAATCTCAGAACGGGTGCAGCTTTGCTTGTGCTTTGTGCGCTTGTGTTCTTGTCGGTGGGTCTTGTGAGTTTTGTAAGCTTTGTGCCTTAACAGCTTGAGATCTTGAGTCAGCTTGAGGCCATTCACTCTGGTGTCGTTGCTGTCGCAGCCACTCCTGCAGTGGCCTCGAGCCCTGCAGATGCTGACGAGGAGCTGAGGGCTCCAGCACCAGCACCTCCAGCGACACTCGTCTCTGCCAACACGCTAACACCACCACCGGGTGTCGACCTGCTTGCATTTTCAGGGAGCCATCTAGGAGGCTTTGAGGGCTTCGTGCCCGCGCCCGTGCCGCTACAAGCCTCGTCCATCGCAAAGGCAGCCGTGCCACCCGCTGAGTCACCCGAGCCAAAACACAAGAACGCAAGACACGCAAAGAAGCAAGTGCAGCCGGCAGCTCGGCTTTCTGCTTGTTGCAGACAGGGACTTACAGAAGTAGCCTTCTCCCAGGCACCGTATCTCCTCCTCGACATTAGCCATGCCAGCACCCCGGTTTCCAGTTTCGAAGAGCACATCTTAGCACACAGCACCAAACATAGCACCAAGTATTGCCTCGCCCTCTCTACCTTAAGATGGGTGCCGGATCTCGATAGTGCCCGACAGGCTGTTGGTGGGCAGCGGTTGTTTGGGCTTCCTGGTCGTCTCGCGCCAAGCGTGAGGGCCCAAGAAGGGCGCCAGAAGGGCGCCTAAGAGTCCCAAAATGTCCCAGCCATTCGACTCAGAACGCAGTAGCCGTCCTCTCAGGAAGGTCTTGCTAAACAAGCCTCGAGGCGACTTCCGGGAGGAGGCTCACGAGCGTGTCGACAGTGTCGACATTTCGTTCCCCGATTCCCCGTGCTTCAGGTGGCGAAGGCCCTCAGCCGTTCCAGCCAGGCTCGCTCCAGCCAGGAGCGCGGCAACAAGCGGAACAACAAGAAGAGAAACAAGAGAGCATTGAAAAAAAGTTGTATCAGTGCTGCGATTTTCTCCAGGACATCCCAAGGGAAGAGCTCCTGGAAGCTCACGAGGCGGAATCTCGTTACAGTCGATGCTATGGGCATTGTGGGCGCGTACTGCTCCGTGGAAACGCGATCCAAGCCCCAAGGCTAAAACCGAGCGCAGTTTCCTGCGGAGCGATGCAACAGCGCATGAAAGCATGCACGAGGCCTCTGTAGACTCTGTATAGGCGAGGGAGCGCGACTTGGGTTGCTGCGCGGCACGACCTATAGGGAGAACGAGACTTTTGGACTTTATCCTTGCACACCCCCCCCCAAGCCCACACCTAGGCGAGAGCGGGGCCCGAAGTTTGCTTGCCAAGACCGAAGGCCCTTTAGACCTGAGCTTGCAAAAGGGACAACACTCTTCGATTTTGCATGACTTTTCGGAAAACCCCATAATCGTTAGTGAATATTTGCCGGGAAGTTGTGCATTCTAGCAGGTCCATAGCCCAAGTGCATCCAAGTGCCATGTCTGAGAGCAGGAGGCGTCACGGAGACATGGCCATCGTCCACTCGCTCAGGCCAGGGCACAGAATGATCAGAAAGGGGGAGAAGGCATGGGCGACGCCAATGACCCCCCTTGAAAGAAGGCGACGGCGAAGGCAGCCCCTGGAGCCTCAGAGCCAGGGCCTCAGGCATCTGCAGGTGTTCTACAATGTAATGTAAAGCAGAAGATGAGTTGGATTGGTGGAGTTTTTTGCTTTTGGGCTCAACGTGTGCTCATATGCCATGGGTGTGCCCAGGCCGCCCCTCCCTGAGAGCGTTGAGATCCCTGAACAACTCGAGCAGCTCGAGCAGCTCGAGCATCTCGAGGGTGCTGAGGCAGATGCGGCAGGTGGCGGCACTCGCAGCCGCAAGGCTTCAACGACTGCCTAAGAAGCCGCAGAAGCAGTTCCGAGCTTCTGCTGTGGGGCACGTGTTGTCTCGAAGAGCCGGCGCCTGTTGCAATGCATACTGCAAGAAGTTCGTATTAATGGCGGGCGCGACCCGGGTGTTACAAGTGTTTTCATCTTGCGTCAATTGTCGTAAAACCATGTAATACCTATCTCCGCCAGATTGACCATGGCTTCCACGCACCAAAGAGAAGAGCAGCGGCTCTCATAGCCACACACGCTTTATTACAACAGGCGTTTCAGATGCGAAGCTTCAGTCGACGGCAAAAAACTGGCGTGAAAGTAACGTGTACCGCAAAGCTAAAGTTTGGCGACATCCTGCATCCTGCGAGAGTTTCTTCCACTTCCCTGGCTTCCTTGTTGGGAGTGCAATGGCCTATGCTTGCTGTGCTCAGATTGTTCATACATGCTAGTGTATATATATATATATGCTGTAGCCGCTAGCCATTTAGGCCCGGCAAGCTACTAGCAGCTAAGAACGGCCTGCGTTTCGCCAAGTTTCGACTTAGCGTTCCTGTTTCTGTTTCAAGATTTCAATCGCAAATGCTGGTGCTTCGTTTCGCACTGCTTCTTTTCCTCCATGCGGAGGGCTGGAAATGGATGAACAACATCAAGGCTCCCTCCTTTAGCAGAATGCAGAAGGGCTCCAAGTTTGGAGACAAGAAGTTCCTGGGCAGCCAAGGCAAGTGTCACAAGCAGGGCATAGTCGTTTTTGCATGTTAACCGTTCAAAGCTCTTTTTGAACACGGCCGAGGCTGGTGGTCATCACCGGAACATCCTCTGGCCTGGGCAAGGCTGCGACCAAGGCTCTTCTGAGGGCCAATGAGTACCACGTCATCGGAGCCGTGCGGGATTTGGAGAAGATGAAGATCGTGGCGGAGTTGGAAGGATTCGACATGGACCGCTTCACGCCAATGCACTTGGACCTCGCGAGCTTCGAGTCCGTGAAGACGTTTGCGGAGAACCTGGACAAGTTCCGTGGCGACCGGCCTATTGACAGGCTTGTTTGCAATGCAGCCGTCTATCAGCCCACCCTCGCATATCCCAAATGGACTGTCGATGGGCATGAGCAGCAGCTGCAGATCAACTACCTGAGCCAGTTTTTGCTCACGTCCAAGGTCATGCCCATGATGACCGACTCCAGCGATGCCCGTGTGGTGATGATCGGATCGGTGACTGGCAACGACAATACTGTGGGAGGCGGCGGAGTCTACCCGATTGCAGACTTGAAGGAGTTGGACGGCCTGGAGCTGGGATGCAAGAAGCCCATCGCCATGATGGATGGCTACAACTTCAACGGTGCCAAGATGTACAAGGACACGAAGCTTGCCTTGATGATGACCTCCAACATGCTTCACGAACGCTTTCATCGCTCGACCGGCATTGCCTTCAGCTCCATCTACCCAGGCTGCATTGCAGAGTCCCCTCTGTTCAGAGAGAAGAGGCCTTGGTTCCGCAAGTACTTCCCCATCTTCATGAAGTACATCACCGGGGGCTTCGTGGGCGAAGAGGAGGCCGGGACCCGGCTCTTCCAGGTCCTCCACGACCCCAAGTGCACCAAGTCGGGGGCCCCTTGGCCTGCACATCAAGACCTCAAGAGAGCGGAAGATGCTTGCGAACAGCGGCACGAGAACTTAAATCAGTGCTCGGGGTAAGCGTGGCATTTAAGTCACCCTGAGTTCACATGGGCTCCGGTGTGTCGTCATAGATGCAAAAGGTCGGGCCTAGTTTGTACTGGTATACTTACTTAGAAACACATATAAGCATATCTACTCGACACACGTGCTTCGAAAAGAAATCACAGGCAACAAGTCGAGCAGCAAGGCTCACTATTCTGATCTATGCCGACCCCGAGCCCTCGGGTTGCGAGAGTCCTACAGGGCTACGGGTGGGTCAGGAGGTCCAGGCCGACAGAGCCTGGCTAGGGCCCTAGGCCCTCGCAGCAGCCTCGACCGTGGCGACGACTTGTTAAGCGAAGTTGCCTTGCCGAGGGCTAGTGGGCTTGCAAGAGTGTCGCTGCCGTGCTCGCCTGCATTACGTGGCAAGACGCTCAACATGTGTATGAGCACACCCCTTGTAATGCTCGCACAAACGCTGCAGGGCCCGGCTGGAGGCAGGCCTAGGCGACCTATGGCAGCAGAAACCCAAGACGCACGCACGCTGGCATACCACGGCCTGTTACGGTCACTGTGCGCACAGTGGTTTGGTTCAAAAGTGGTTCAAAGGTGGTTCAAAGACATCTGAGGTCTACTGGTCCTGGAATGGTGGGCCACGCGAGGGCCGGGGCCTTGAGGCCATGGAGAAGGGTGGCCAGATTGTTGGAGCGGGAGGCGCAGGAGGTGGCTGGGAGTCGATCTACGAGAACGACCAAAGCGACAAGGTTTTGAACAAAGACTTGGTGCAGAAGCTTTGGCAAACCACCAACGAGGTCACAGGAGCTCAGTGGCCAAAAGCCTATCAGGCCAAGTCCCCCTGCCCGACTCTCAAGGTGGTTGGCGCTGCCACGTCCCTCCTTGGCATTTTGGAGGAGAACGCTCGCATGAAGGCCTCCCGTGAAGGTGAAGGTGCCAAGATCGTGGCGAATAAGACGCTCCCAAAGGCGGAGCGACGAAGGCACCTGGAGAGGATGCTCCAAGCCCTGGACAAGACTCCCAGGGACCCCGAAGAGCTGGAGCGGGACCTGCTGCGAACCTCAGGGCTCGTCCCCCAAGATGTCCTTGATGGTGACCAGGAGCACTCGGAGCCTTCCTTGGAGGCTGTGGTGCCCGAGCTCGATGACGTCGATGACGTGGATCACGTGGATGATGTGGATGATGTCTACGTCGAGCCTGCGGAGCCTCCGAAGATGCTTCCCGGCCATGAGAAGCTCGGTGACACCCCCGTGGTCTTCCAACCTCAGAATGTGATGACGATGGCGCGGGCTGGCCAGCCTTTGAGCGAAGTGGCATCTCAGGCTGACGTCTTCATCCGCTACAAGTGCAAGAAGGGTCAGTGTAAGACCTGTGCCGTGAACATCGACGGCAAGTGGGTCTCGGCCTGCCAAACCAAGGTTCCTCCCCAGGAGCCAGGGAAGAGCTTTGACGTCCGTGTTCGCCCGGTCTCGGATGCCCACAAAACACAGGAGAAGGCCGCCTTTTTTACACCCAAGTCCTTTGCTGACGGTGTTGTCAACAACGGTCTGGGTGTGGTTGGCTTCGTTAAGGAGGCCTTTGGCGCCGACCCCGACTTCAAGGTTCGCATGGAGAGGGAGAGGCTGGTCGAAGAGCTCCTGGCCCAGAAGAGGTCGAAGGAGATGATCAAGACGGTCAAGAGCGTCAAGAGCGTCAAGAGCTCGAAGCTGCGAGGCCCATCAAGCCCCTCAAGCAGGATCAGCTCAAGCTCTGAAAGCTCTACTTCTAAAACCGTCACGGATGAGCACGGGCGCGAGTTTGTCCTTCCAGGCCTTGCCATGACCGCAGCCTTCATGTTTGCAGTGATTCAAAACTATCCGGTGCTCGACTGAGCCTAGGGCCACTCATCAGGCCTCAGGCTTCAGGATGCTTCAGGCTTATTGTAGTCATTGTAGTCATTGTAGCCGTGCCACCCAGAAGAGCCTTGAGCTCTGCAGCGACGGCCGGAACCTTCGGCTGGTTTTTTAGAAGGCCCAAAGGGTCGGAAAAGCCTCCTCAGGCACGGAGGAGTCAGAGTGGAGATGTTGCGCATGCGACGCCTCTTCTCGGAATTTTGGAAATCCGAGACATCTGAAAGATGACTGGTCCATCAGACCGACTGCAACTGACTCTGCCCCAATCTGCGGCCGTCTGCTGATACCTCTGCCTGCTGCGCGGCCATATGTTGGGTGTCACAAAAAGGACGAGAGACATTCGCAGGGTCGCAAGACACGACGGCTCATGCACAACCCTTGTTTTCCAACCGCCATGAGCACGTTTCTCAAGCTATTCGGATTGCATACACGAATATGTGATACAGAAATCGAAATTCTCGTTGAGTATTTGACGGCCAACATGTCTCGCGAAAGCGAAAGGCCAGCCGCACAACGAGACCATCAAGCTTGCAGACCGTGAGTCACACACACACACACACCAAGCCGATCGGATCTGCCAGGCCCCATGCCGCGTGCGCAGGCCGAGTGGCCGAAGAACACCATCCCTGCAGTCAAGCCCACCTTGCCTACCTCCACGCCTGCCACGCCTGTTGTGGCGCCGACAGCCACATCATTGGAGGCAAAGGCACGGTGGCTCCAATCCTCCGATGCAGAGTATCAGGAGACAAAATCTGCGGCCGCTGCCGAGTTTGGCAAGGAGCTGGGCCTTGCTGGAGCTTTGCTGCTGACCGCTTGGCGGGAAGAGGGGAAGCTCGATGCCACAGTGGTGGCAAAATCGGCTGGCCACGTTGTGATGGGCGGTGCACTCGCCTTTGCCACGCTACATGCCGGGCAACATCCCTTCTTGAGCATGTTTGCCACGAGCCTTATGGCAGGGCTTTGGCCGGAGCTGTCACCGCCATCGGTGGATGAGAAGCTTGAGGAAATGAAGAAGGATGGGTGAAACATTGCGAACCATTAGTGATAGCACCTTCTGCTAGAGCTTATCGTTTCACATTGGGAAGGCATGGGTTGGAGCTGCCTCGTCAGGAGATCATGAATGAAGTCGACCTTATTGTCGACAAAGCACTCTTTCAGCAAGAGTTCGAGCAAAGCCACATGCACATCACGCAATTCTTGCGTGAGATGGAGTGGGCTTCGACGTCCGTGCCAAACATGGACTCGCAAGCAAGACTGGCCTACCTCTTGCCCTCGGAGCAAAGGGCTGGACATCTCAGAAGCTCGCTGTTCAGGACTTGGGTGAAATCATGGGCCAGCACTGCGTGCCCCTTGGCATCCAACGTGACAACATGACACGTTTGGACAACCCTCACATCCCGAAGACTTGCACCACGCCAAGGCACGAACACGAATCAGGGCGGGGGCCTCGTTCTGCTGCAGTCGCTTATGGTGTTCCACCTTTCGCTTCTGCGCAACACTGTGGTCGACTTGGCTTGGGCGATCGAGATTCAGGCGCGGCAGCGCTTTTTGCGCGAAGCATTTGAACTTCTCCGAGCTGCTCAGTAGCAGGGCCCGGTGGACGCTCTGATGATCAAGACCGTCGGATGCCCCAACAGCAGACCATCTTTGGATTGAAGTCACTACCCGTCACAGTCTTGGAGGACATGTTTGACGCAAGCAGTCTCTGGTCCTTGGCAGTCCAAGTCAGCCCAGATCCACCTCCAGAAGACCGCACGTTCATGCAGGTCAGCGACGCGTACAGGTGCGAAACGTCCAATGGCGGCAGCTGTGAGAAATTTGGCGATCAGTATTGGACGGTTGCCGGGGAGCATGCTTTGCTTACTTTGGCAAAGGATTACACTACATTCGTAGTGCGCTTCAAGATGCGCCTGGAAAGCAATGCTATCAGGAGTGCGGCGTCCATCGTGCTGATGGAAGGGACAACTGCCTCCTCATTTTTGTTGTTGGACGGTGCCGTGAGAGTTGTCATGTTTTCTTCATCCCGGGGTCCGTTTGGACTTTGTAGAGGTGGCCAGGATGTTGCAGTGGCATTGCTTAGAGCTTGGCAAGTTCACAACTGAACCACCAGCGATCTTGTTGTCCTTGCCCTGCAGGGCCGTTGAACCTTATGATGGGGAATTCCAGGTAGGCGATCTCCTCACAACGTCGAGTACTTGCGAGCTGGCTGTCCCGTGATGATCACCTCAAGTTGGTCCGACGACTTTCAAGTCGGGATATTAGGATTGATTGTGACTTTCGTCTGGGGCCAGCACGAGGATTGCCGTGCTCCCACAGACTCGGTCGTTGCAAGCTTGCTTAAAACGACGGAGCATGCATTGTGAGTGGAGCGCAGGGGCGTTTTCCTTGACGTCGGCGCTTGCGCAGTTATCTCACGCGACGCCCTTTTTGCCTTGTTGTCACTAGCTCAACGAGCCCGCCCGCGCCAAATCATTGAAGGCGAAGGCAACGTTGTGCAGCAGGCAGAGTTTGCAGGCCAGAGCTAGGCAAGGAATGCGGACTCGGGCCATGTTAACCCAAGAAGATGCAGAACGGAAACCAGAAGAACCCTAAAGGCCTTAAACCCTACATCTCGAAGAAGTATAATTCAAAATAATGCTTGGCGTGTGCCGGTGCTTCCGCTTTTGGATTCAAGCTTTTTAACTTGACTCATGGGAGAGACCGGACGGTGGAGGCTTGCGTGTTGGTATATTCGTATGTACAGCTTGATAATTTGAGAACTTACCACGTTACATTTCATAGAGCAATCTTTTTTTGGGAAAATTCCATCATTGAGATTGAAGACGCTCAATGGACACCTGGCGCTTCCTCGTTCTGGCCAGCGCGGCCGCTGCTGTGCTGGTGTGGCACTGGCATCTCACACAGGCCCTCATCTCGTCCTTTAAGGAGACCATGGTCTTCGAATCCTCAAGACCCTCAAGACCCTCAACCCTAAACATTCGTGAGTTTCATCTTGGCTCAGGTCCTCGTAGAGGGAGAGCCGAGGCTGTGTCCGTAAATAGAACGCCCTTTCATTGACCGACCCCTTGAAAACCTGCATCACGCAGGGCCATTCAGCTCTCACGGAAAAAGCGTGCTGCGCAGTGCTCGCGCGTATCTCGCGGTAGCTATCCCAAAACCCTAAGTTAAACCCTGATGTTCTCTAATCCCTGTCGGTCACAGGCGGACTTCAAGACCTGGATCCGGCACCTAACACGCACGACGCGAGCCTGGTGGAAGGGCGATGCCGACCTCAGTCCAATGGCCATGCGAGTCGAAGAGGCGTCGAGCGCCCCTGATAATGATAATAAAACGGCCATATTAAAATACTAAATACGAATACTAATCGTAATACTCAGAGTATTTGCCTTTGGCGGTTTATGTTTTTGGGTTCAGGAACTTTGCCGTGTTCGCCTGTCGATGTTCTTGACCTTCCTTCGGCTGTTCATTCGCCCCGTGATGGTCCTGATGTTGGTGTCTGTCGTGGAGTTGGTGCGCGAACCCAGCTTCTGCTGTGGAGGTTGGCTTTTCACCTTGTCGCTGATTGTTGTATGCTATGGTGTTGTGGTCAACAATCAGCTACCTTGCAAGTCTTTGCATAGTTTTCACGCATTTTTCAGCATCATCAACATGGTGGCCACGATCAGCAGTGGCTGCGGCAGCAAGGACGACTTCTTGGGCCGGTTTGGCATGGTCATCGGAGCGCAGGTCCTGCATGGAATACTTTTTCCAGCAGGTGCAATGACGGTGGTGTATTCGGTACTCCACACGGTTCTCTACATCTGGGCCACAGCACAGGTTCACGGAAAGAGCGGCTTGAACCTATGGTTGCTTGTGTTCCACATCGCTTTCCAGACCTTGGTGTGCAACGTCGTGCCGTTCCTCTTGGAGTTCACTCTGCGGGAGTGCATCTCGGCGTCGTTTCAGTCTAAGGACTCAGATTCTCTGATCTCCGGCTTTCGCCAGATGCTGAAAGGCATCTGCGACGGAGAGCTGCTGGTGGACAGCAAGTTCCGGATCTCCGGCAGTGCACCGTGCCTTCAAAGGCTGCTGGCAAGCAAGGAGGAGTTTGCCGGGCGAAGTTTTCGGGAGCTCATCGATGGCAAAGAGGCGCAAGAGAAGTTCGATGGGTTCCTGTTGCCCGCTGTTCAGGAGGATGACATGAAAGACGATCGGTCCAACGAAGGTGCTCCACGCTGCCTGCGTGTGCCGCTGAAAGCCCCTTCGGGCCAGGTTGTTCCTGTCGATGTCTTCCACGTCACGCTACCACGCTTCCTCTACGGGGAGAAAGCCACCTACCATCTGCAGCTCGGCTGCACAAGGACACCTAATATAGGCCAATACCCATGTAGTTCAGAAGCGAGCTCATGACAGAGTCGTAGTACTTGGATGTGTGTATGCTGGTAGCTGAAGAACTGTGCTGATACCAAACACCACCCCAAACCTCAGCATCCTCTCAGCGCGAGCCTGGATGTTTTCTGCCTCACCGGGTGTTTCCTCGGTTTTGCCCCTAGTGAGAATTCCGAGGCCCCAGGACATATGGCCCATATGGCTCACCTTTTTCTTGTAGAATGTAATTCGCTGGCTTCTTCATGTTTTTGAGGCTGGCGCTGACCGAGGACGTCGATTCCCGAATGCAGCTAGAGGTCCGTCAGCCGGCTTCTGCATGCTAGCTGTCAGCCAAACCTTACCCGGCTTCTAGAGAGACTACGGGTTCAAGGGGTCAAACGCTCAAGAATCAGTTTATGAGTTTGCTTGCTTGTTAGTGCTCGCAAGAATTTCCTGGTCCCAGTTCTCTGAAGAGCGCTTGAGATGTGAGCTGGGCTCGTGAGCTGGACTCACCAATTGTTCTTTGTACTTGCAGCCAAGTGTTGGTGATAGCTACTTCTGGGGAACATAGCTGCGCAGACGATGCGTCAACGCTGCAGCTCAGAATCTCTACCCCTCCGGAAATCTTTGCAGAGGCCGACCCGACATCTCCGAACGAGCCTCGGCTGAATGCATGTCGCCAAAAGCGATTTCTCCACAAGCCGACAATTGGACAGTGAATCATTGTGATTCCGTTGTGAGAGCTTTACGTCCATGCCCTGGTGGCCCCCCATAGAGACTGCCCTATTCATTCCCCTTTGAGTGTTTGCTTTTTCCTTTCTCACAGCCAGGACCCCGCCTCCCTCGAGGCATTGCCAAACAGTTTGCTGGCGTCTCGACACTCGCCGGCCGCATCTGCCAGCAGCACGGCCACCGGGCTTTTGAAGGGAGAGGGCTCTTTGCCAGTCTTTTGAGCATGTTTCATACGTTCCTCTTGGTGGGTATGATGGTCTCAAGGAGACGCAGCTGGAGTGCTACGACGAGCTGGCGGAGATGACGCTGCTGTTGAATGCAAGCACGGAACTCCTGGACATCGAAGAGGCCCACCTGCGATTCGTGCCCTCGACTGCAACGGTCATCGCAGTTGGCAAATTGGCACCAATATAGAAGGAGGGCAATGGAGGGCAGGACTTCGTCGTGTCTGCTGGTGACTTGTCACTCATGACATGCGTCTGACATGCGTCTCAGGTGCGCCATGGCAACGAGCCCGAGGCGCGCCCCATTTCCTGGCTTTTAGTGCAGCCCCAAAGGGGCGCTCGGGGAGTGTGTCGATCGCAGAGCCGTGCTCAGGTCCGGATGGGCATGCCCACGCTGAAGCGCTTTGCACGGCCGCTGGACTGGGCCGGCATCGACGGCACCCTCCGCCGCTATGCGCGCCAGGTGCGGAAGGCCTCTGCCCGCGGCCAGGAGGCCCGGACCCCCCGTAGCCCGGCAGCGTAGCTTGAAGCCCTCAGCTCGTGCGGTTTTGTGCTTCCCTTGGCCAGGCGGTGGAGAAGAAGGCATGGCACGCGTGGGGAGTATTTTACCGATCAAATATAATCTGTATAAATCTGTATTAGTACATGCGGGAATTCTGTATAGACGGTACTCGTAAACTGTGTTCTTGAAGTGCTCTAGGGGTTACAGGGTTGGGGCCTGCAATTGTTGGCTTTAAGTGCGGGCTCACCCTCCTCCCCCTCAAGAGCGAAGAAACAGCTGAACAAGGCTAGGGGTCGGGTTGAAGGTCGAACCGCCCGCCGGAGTCTCATAGGTGACCATAGGTGTACAAGGAAACGATTTTGCAAGTGCTTTCAGCCTTCGTGAAAAAGGCTTGATGAAACCACCAAATAGTCTTTGGAATCCGAAAAACAAGTTGAGTTTGCCCCAAGATAGAGGCTCTATGAACCAGACCTTCGAATTACGGGATTGCCTCCTCTAGCCTCGAGCTTCTGTGGCTGGGTGGACATCAGAGGGCCGCGGAAGGTTTGCAGAACCTGCGCGGAAGAGCTCAGGTCCTAGGTTATAAGTTATAAGGGCGAAGCATCGGCATAAGTGGCGCCGCAAACGCCCCAGCATAGGTGCAGCCATTGCAACAATAGGTTGCCGAGTGTATAAAACCGCAGAAGAGTCCGCACAAGGGAAATGTGTTCTTGTTGAAAAAGGCCAAGGCACGGCTCATAGGACGTGCTGCAATTTGCAGCAGGAGCTGCTGTAATGTGCAGAGAGAACCAGAAAGAAACTCTGGATGCCGAGCACAATCAGAGGGGATGTTTTATTTTCGCAGCATTCCGGAGCCTAAATGATGTGATTCTCATGGCGCTTGGGGAGATGTCGAACATGTCGGCTGCCACGATTTGCGGTGTTTGGAGCTGCCGAACACCAGGAACTGTTACAATTTACAGGCCTAAGATTCCGGCCATTGCGTCAGGGGGGTCGGGCTGTTTCTCGGAGGCGCTGCCGCCCTTGGTGCTTCGGCTGCCTGGCGAAACGAGGAAGCACCTCCTCGCAAGGTTGGGAGACACGGTGGACTCTAGCCCTCTTTGCTCCGAGCCCTTCCTTTCCAGGTCCCTGACCATCAGCTCCCCCTTCGAACGCAAGGGGTCGCAAGAGCCCATCTACCTCTACCTGCACATGATGGACCGCGGTGCAGATGGAACTGACACACGATGCCGTTGGGCCACATCGCCTTTATGTTACACCATAATATGTAATATTACGCAATGATGCCTGAGAATATATATATATATATGTATTATGTAATCACATGTAATCACAGAAATATTTGTTTTCTGTGTGTTGAGAGGATTTTCAGGGCCCGGCGCGGCCAACGCTCAGGAGCCTGGAGGGTCTCGATGAGGCCTCCGCTGCTGAAATGTGTCAAGAAGAATATGGTATATGATCACATTGCATATTGCTGCATGATTTTATATATTCTTATACATTCTCATCTCTTTGTATACGTTCTGAACTCGACAAAGAAATCCAACCGTCCCTCAGAGATGTGTCCCCTAGCCCCTACTGGTACCGCTTCTTGATCAATCTCAAGAATGCTCTCAAACAGTTAGACTCTTAAAGCCTAAACCCCAAACCCCTTCCTCATAAAGCGACGGGCAGTTTCCCTCAAGAAGGCGGCGGCCGTGGCTCCAGAGGCTGCGGGTTTTGTTTGCCTTTGGGCTGAGGCTTGTTTCTTTTGAGGTAAAGCTGAGCAGTCAAGAGCCTGAAGAGGGGAGTTCAGGATTTGAGGGTGAAAAGGGCTTAGGGTTTAACGTTAAGGCTTTAGGGTTTAGGGTGCGACTCTTGTCTTTGCTCGCTTGTGGCTTCGTCGCGTGTGACACCAGAAGCACCGCAAGCCCTGAATGGAGATAGCCCAAGCCCTAGAGACTTTTGGATAGATGATTAGAAAACCATGGAATCTTGTAAAACCGTACAAGCGTGAGACCCTGAACCTTCAACAAGGAGCCACATTTTCGGGCTTGGAGACTTGCAACAGCTTGTAACCCCGAAAGGAGACCCCCACCCTCTTTCATCCTACAAGGACCCCTTGAAGGAGGCCCCACAACACAGAGTCTGAAGCCTCATGAAGATCTTGGGAATGAGTCGAAACCCCCAACCCTGTGGGAGATGGCCCGAAGACCCACAAAGGGATGGGGAGTTTGGAGAGTCAACAACAAGTGAAGGCACAGGTGACCCTCAGCGTTTTCCTGAGATGGGCTCGCATCAACATCGTGCCATTCCGAACCTCCAAACCAGACCCCTGAAGCGTAGAAGCCCTCTGCACTGCTACCCATGGAGGAGCGCGCTCAAAGTGTACAGACTGAACACAACATCGGGGAGACGCTTGGAGTCGAAGTTATGGCACAGCTTTCCGCAACACCTTCATCCCAGCCTTCCTGTGGACAGGAATGCACAGTCTGGCAGTTCCAGATTGTGGCACGAAACATAATAGTGAACTTCATTTGATGGCTAAGGGCTCGCAGACCGAGCCATCTTCCTGCTGCTGGCACTGTGCACCGACGCCGAAGTGAAAAGAAAAGCGTCGATGCGTCCATGTTCTTGAAAGCCAGCCCCCGCATTGGTGGCGGCAAGACGTTAACGTATCTTGTGAGTGCTAGTCTCGCAGACCTGGTATAAGGATGTAGGGCGGCATACATTGGTGAATTGCAACTGCCTGAGCAAAGCTCCGGCCCATCTTCTTGTAACCGTAGCAAAAACAGTCCTTTCGCGCCATACCGCCTGCAGTCTGCCATTGAAAATACGGAAAGGGTTGAAGGTGTTGCTCCGCAGCAAAATCATCAACGACACAAACACCATGAGGCCCCTCTCCCCGCAAGGTGCCCAACCAGGACACCAAGCCCGTAAGTGCATAACCACAGCGCGGAAAGCCGCCTGAAAAGATAACCAGCAGCGCCTGGAAGGAGGCATCCACGAGACATCCACCATGGCCGCTTGCTCATGTAAATTGGAAGAGGCCGGCAGGGAAGCGGTGATGTTCCCAATCAGGCGTTCAATCTGGTCATGCTGAGTGGTGATGCTGACGTTCAGGGCTGCCATAGCGGATTGGCCCACTGAGCCACAAACCGCACCTCAACGTAGCGAGATGCAAACATGAGATACCCGCTGGGCAGCACATAAGCCGAACCTATCGCCGACCAATACAACCCGTGTACCTCCAAATCCGCAGCAGTGGAGGCGACGTACGGCAATGAGATGCCCACGGAAGACACCAAAGATGCCCAAAGAGCGAGAGCTTCAGAGCGATTGGTCCGAGTAGCGGACTGGCCGTGTAGCGAATGAATCCACTCCACCAGAACGGAGCCATGAGCGCCCATGACCGACCGCCCCTCTGTGGAGGTGCAGTGGAGATCGAGCAGGTCCACGCCCAACCACGCTGTCCAACCAGCCGGAGACGAAGGCTCACACGGCCGAAGATATAGTCGAGGCAAACTCCGTACCGTGATCCAACGCCACGGCCGCCGCCACCGAGGCGCGCTCCGACACCAAGGCGATGGAGGAGACTAGGCGCGTCACTTGCTCAACAAAGCCCCACTGGGAACATTGCATGATGAGCAACAGCATGCACAACCAAAAGGCTCCGTTCCTGCCAAAAGCTGCAAGCCGGGACCACCAGCCTTTCACACGTGAGCGCACCAAGCTGCGCGGAGTGCGACGGAGGGGGCCGCAGGAGCCGCCTGCGCTTGAAGATCACCAGAGGCGACGCGACACGGCTCGTCGGAGTCTGGGCCCTGGCGTGTGCGTTCTGGAAGGGCGTTGCCGGCGCCTAGGAGTGGAGGTTGGAAGAGGAAGAAGGACGGGCGGTGCTGGGACTTCGACGCCATCAACGTCCAGCAGGGCGGGAACCGGAAAATAGGCGGGAAATAGTCGCCAAAATGTTCCACACTGTAAGGCTGCGCGGCGCCCACTCCCCGTAAGTGAAAGGCCGCTTGAACCTGCGAGGCGAACACCATGTCGAGGTATGTGTTGAAGGACTTTTCCGACGCCCAACGGCCCCTTTGTCGGATGTCCGCCACGCCGCAGTCCCGTGAATACTCCTCAGTCGCAAAGCCGGCTCGAGGAGAGTGTGGAGTGAAGAGCTTTTCCACACGATATTGAGCGTACGAAACATTGAACAAATAACTTTTAGGCTCCGCTTAATACAACAGTTGCTGAAGCACACGAGCCACCGCTGGATCACGGCCCCAATGAAAAGATGCAACTTGCTCACACCAGACTTTTGTACCGCAGCCCACTCCCAAACGAAATGCAAATTTTGGACAAGCAGCTGTTGGCCTGAGAACATCCTGCTCGCGCACTGGGACGAAGCCCCGTCAAGCACTGGACCACAAGCCCAATTGCCAAACAAGGGAAGCCTGCCGCCACAAAGAGCACCCCAAACAACTTGGCTGGCCCCGAAAGCAAAGGTAAAGTGTGAGCTTGGAGTGTGATAAGTGACAGGAAGCCTTGTATTGCAAAGTCAAAAAGTCCGGCTCTGCGGCTGAGCCAGGATTTGCGCCCGACTCTATCAAGAAAATGACAAACAACCGGAGGCACTGCTGATAGCACCTGAATGTGGAGGCTTTGACTGAAGCTATATGATGTGGGTCCAGCGCACGCGGTAAACATGCGAAGGCCGATTGCCCTCCACTCATGCTTGAATCCTTGAGGCATGATCCGCGGGCATGCGAGACGTTTCCACCCAAGGTAGAAGCAAACGGATCCTGGAGGCCAAACAGACTAAACAGACTGCAGCCTTCTTCCTACAATACACGTTGAGGCCCCAAGATGATGACCTACCGCGAGTAAGCACGGCTTTACATATTGTCCTGCAAGGAATACCAAACCATGCCATGACGAGCGGGATTTGAAGCGACCCAACGGAGTGCTTTCCACACAGCCCTTGTTTCTCCTATGCAAATATGATCAGCGGCCTTCCACCGACCTTGCACAACCACTTCCCGTCGGGGTTCGCAAGACAAAGCAGCTGGAAGCAATGACAACGGGATTGTTGGTGTCAAAGCTCTCTCTGGAAAAGGCATGCCATCAACAACATCGTCATGCAAGTTGAACGCCAGACCCAGCTGCTCTGAATTTGCTCTCAGTGCTTCCAGCTCAGCTTCACTGACCTGAGTCAGGCAAATGCCATAACCACCATGGTTCGCCGATGCCCGTGCCCGTGCGGCCCCAGCACGCTTGCGACCCGCCACACGCCAAGCTAGCGTCCACAGATGGACGGGTCTGTTGGCGGTGGCGGCGCAGCGCGCGTACGCCTCGTCACTCCTTGAGCTCCCACTTGTAAGCGTTGAGCAGGGCGAGGGCGACGCGCCTCCTTTGCGGAACCTCTTGGCACAGGCTCGCGAGGCTGAGCAGGTCTCCGACAGCCGCCTCCCCGCGGCATATAGGTGAACGTAGGAGCCCCCCGACCTGGACACCCTCCTGCGGACGCATAAAGGAGTGACAAAAGAAAAAAAGGAGGTCGCTTTGCCCCATGGCATCTGTGGCCAGTAATTCCGACGAAAAGGGCATACCCACATTCAAGAACATGAAATCAACAGCAGTCGCCATGTGAATGAGTTCTTGGCGCACCGATGGCCACAGCCTGACCGGGACTCATCCATGCCGGTACTGCGACTTGCGTGAACGCATTGGACTGGCTACATGGACACGACTAAGCGCCCCTGCCCCCTGCATCCCTAGGGCGGAACGATGCCGCGGATCAGTGAGAAGGTAATTGAAGGAGCAATCAACAGCTTGCGTTGAGAGATACCATCTTTATGAAACTACCGAAATCTACCGAAAAACCAGCGACTGCCTTGACATCACGGAAGAGCCTCCGCTCCCACATGCTGGCAGGAACATCCTGGCGGTGAAAGTAGCTTACATATTCGTCCAAGCAACCGCCTACAAATGCACATTGCTGCTCCAGTTCGTGTTGGATAACTTTGCTCTTTCCGGTATGATCAATGACATTCTCTTCGTGGGAATAAAACTGGCTTTCGTCACATGGCAATGCTTGTAACATGTCGACCACGTGTTCACCCGAAGGCTCCACGATACGTGCTGCTTCCATGGGCACTTGGGCATGCGTCTTGGAAACTGATGCGTAACCCATCGCGTCCACCTTGGCGGACTTGACGGGCACCGCAACAGCTGATTGGCCGCCTGTCGGAGTGACCTCCCGGCGGACCCGAAGACCAGCTCTGCTCAACTCGAACAGGTGTCTCCACGCAGCTCTCTGCGCGTGATTTGGTTCAGCCCGCGCCGCTGATCCAGAGAGCTTCTGCTTGTGTCTGTTCGTGCCCACATGCATGAAATTGAGAAAATGGATCAAACCGACTGTGTACTTCCAAAGCCGCAACCTCTTGGAAAACCCGTTTCTCAAACGAGCGGAGGATGAATTTGGAAACAACGGTGCGGCGGCACTGCGAGCGGGAAAACTCATCATACGCTGTGTCTGCTCCTCCGTCTTCTGCTGTTTGACTTGGTGGCGTCGCCCCCAATGAGCCAGCAGCTGCCCATGAGGGACCGCCACGGTGTCAGCCTTGAGTGGCGGCTGCGGCCGGTCTGCCGCCACCTCCTTGTTTCTTAGCTCCTCGTCCTCGCCCAGCTCCCTTGGGTGCTCCTTTGGGCGCGTAGACGACTCTCCGCGCTGCGCCTTGGCCCTTTCACGGCGTTTGTGCTCGCCTTGGGCAAACAACGATGCTTCCGATACCAACCAGGCCGGCGCAATGTCATGGGAAAGATTCGTTGGCTTCATGGCCAGCATAGACGTTGCTGCATCCCGATCGCCTGTTCGCTTCTCGTGCACATAAGAGGCTAGCTCAAGGCAACCTCTGCTGTGTCGCTGCGCGCACTCAGAGAGAGAGCCTGAGCCTGCGAACCCTTGGCGTCCTTCACGGCAAAGTCGACCAATGATGCTTGGTTGAACAAGTCCAAATACAATGCGTCCCCTCGACGATCTAAAGGGATCATTTGGTTCAACCATTCGCGCGCGCTTCTTTCGCCCGTGGTCCAGCCCGTTTCAAGTCTGGTGGGAGGCATGCTTCCCAACCACCAAGGTCGTCATCCCCGACAGCATTCTCCACGTCCAAAAGCCCATTGTCAAAGAGAGGCGTGGAATGGGCTAATGCCCCACTGTTCTCCAACTTTTCTTTGAGCTCCGAGGTGTGCGGGGGTGTTCCACTGCCTGCACCGAGGTAGCCGAAAGTCCGCAGCAGTGCTTCCACACGAGACTCCAGCTTCCCGATGTCGCCCACTTCTTTCCAGAAGTTGCGAGACCAGCTGGGTATGAGCGCGGAGCGTAAAGGTTCTCTCCTTGGCATCACTTCTGGGCAATGGTCCTTTCACTTCGGAATCCGGCTGAAGGGCCTTCGAACACATACTTGCCAGTTGATCACATTCAGGCTCGTCACATGTGAGTTGCGCTACTTTCAATGACTCGCCACTAACCTGATACAGCAGGGCGCCGCTGCACAGCGAGATATCCACCAAGCCCGACTCGTGAGCGTTTGTCACCACACCATATTCATTTCTGAAATCCTGGTATGGAGGCTTGTCCATCACCATCACGGCTTGCCCAACCGCCGGGTGCCAGCGAAGCGCAGGTGCAGGTGGTGGCGGGGGCTCCGCGCAACGGTACACTAGCCAAGGAAGTGAGTGACTGCGTCAATTCGGTCGAAGCTCCGCGAACGTGAACATTCTCGCTCGGCGCTGCCGGGGTTGACATCATTGTGTCATCCATCTGAATCTGCTCCTCGTCTGAGTGGCGTGTCTGACCAATCACTGGATTGAGGCCAGTGTCTGCGCAACACCTCACTGACGAGGGGCAGGACAATGCTTGCACATACCAACATGAGGCGTGTGCGGCCGGTCCATGTCCCCCACTGCACTGCGACTAGGCATGCCAAAGCTGAAAACCACAGAGTTGCGATAGCTCTCAAACCTAGCCCTGACAACCTCGAGAAGCTCTTCGCATGCGCCTTGCCAGGCATCGTCATCTTCGGCAAGGCAAGGAAGACGCGTGGCTGACTGAGTGCCTTGCGTTGCGCCAGAAATCCTCCACTTCCCAATCCATGTCGGGCTGCGTGAGGCTGGCTAAGCCCATCAACGCGACTGGAAAAACTGCATGTTCTTCATCGAGATTGCTTGGTCGCCTTCTTCCGAGCTCCTGCCTGGCCAGGCGCACTGCTTTGTCAACTACAGCATCGGTTTGGACAAGTCCCGACTTAACAGGACCTGCCCTATGGCAGCCCTAGTGCTGCCCGCAACTCTCATGGCGATGAGCTGGTCTAACGACGTACCCCACCCGTTTGAGAGCTTGAAAGAGTCTTCACATGAAAATTTCATCTGTGGCTGCATCACATAAACTCATCACATTGCAACAAAAGGCCGTCCTGCAAAGCGAGAGGGTGTTCAAACACGTGTATGTGCAAGGACTTTCTGTCCTACCCTAGGCTCGCGCTAGAAACTCCGTAGCAACATAAACCATCGTGCCAGCACTTAATCAAGACAGCTAGAATAGCCATGGTGAATTGTTGGTCCTGTCCGATCCAGTGGCGGCGGCTCTCCGTCAGGCTGTTGAGGCTCGCTTTCCCGCGCGCGCCGTAAACAGCAAGCCGCCGACCCGGAGCTGAATTTCGGAGGCCCAACAGCTCGTGCTGCTTGGGAGCAACGTCGGCGGACGTTGGAGCACTGGTGCGGGCCAGCTGCTTTGGGATCTCGTCCGCGTCCGCGCCCAGCTAGCTTCGCCAGCCGTGCGAGATCGTCGCTGCGTCGGCATTAGCCACCGGCAGATGAGCGACTGCGTGAGGAGCAACGCCTCCTCCGAACATTGCCCGCTCTACCCGACAATGCCTTCACTGTGCCCGCCGCGCTCCAACACTGCTCCAACCACGTGCTCCGCGCGGTTGTGACGCGAAAATGAACAACATGCTTTGCTGCATAGCTCACGAACACAATGCTTGCACGACCCCTGAAAAAGAAAACCATGCTGCGGCCGTTAATCGCTTTCAGGTCCACTATCTTTGTCGTGAAACCGATACATTTTGCGAAGCACCGCGCCTCCCGGCCCCGACCGTGTATGTCCCAGACGGCATCGTTCATAAGAGGGCTCTTGCGCCCCATGTCTCGCCGTAACAGGTGCTAAATGAAAAAAGAAGGTTCGGTTCCTAACCTGCCGGGTGCCTAAAACCAATGTTAGTCTGTGACGCGCAGCACCGACTCCTCGCCTGCAACTTGCGAAGCCTCACGCCATGTGGCCTCAGCCCTTAGCGGCAGTGGTAGGCTTGTTCTGGACAACTTGTACATATTCAATGACCGCTTTAGATTTTGGTTTGCTGGGATCCTTTCTTCGGTTGGGCTCTGCAACGAGTGAGCATTGAGTTGGCAATGTAATACTGTTGACTTGCTGCTGAACCTGGTGGTAGTAATCTCTCAAACAGTGGTGGCTCGACTCTGGAACATCACGTGAGCAGGGAGTTCCTTGCAAGCAGATCCCTGATCACAAGCCCGGCGCATTTGGCAATGGCTGGAGAAGCCGAGCCGACCAAGGCTGGACGAAACGGTTCGCTTTTTGAGCGGTGGATGGTGGACTGATGGTTTGAGGCGTAGGGTTGAGGGCTCCATTCCGACGTCGCAGGCCGAGAAGGATGCGCAAAAGAAGGCGGACCGCGTTGGCTTGGGGTTTCCTGCGGATGCTCAAAGTAGGTCCTGTGTGGGGCATCGCCGGGCAGCAGGCAGAAGCAGCGAAGAAAGTAGGGATCGTTGCGGCCACCTTGCACATGTGGCAAGGCCACCGATGCACCTACGAAAGTCCGAGTCACGTGTTGTGCACTGCGAACAACACTGCGAGGTCAAAACGCAAGCATTCCTTTTTCGCAAGAACAAGAAGCCAAGTTTCAGAACGCCGAGGAGAGCTCGCGCAAGCGCCCAGCAGCTTGCTTCTGCTGTGTCCATACACGGAGGAACTCAAGAAGAGAGTGCGCACGACTCTCAAGCACGCCAACCACTTCCAGCTCAGGAGCGACCAGGCAGCCCCTGGTAGAGTCAAAGGGCTGAACATATGACATGCTGAAACATGCTGACATTTGTGAGGGCAAGGCCTGACAAGGAGGGAGGATTTTCGGCCAGGACTACAATGCCTACAACCGGAACACGGCATTGTTCAAGAAATTGCGCGGGTTTGGCCAGGGCCGCAGCTTGAGCCAGTGTTGCGCCTGCGTACTGCATTGCTGCATGCTGTTTGCATAGCATCCTGCTGTCGGAGGCAACGCTGGTATGGATTATTCCCATTTCTGCGCGGCCGCGCGCCCGAAACGGGTCGGTCAGGAGCATGAACAGCTCTTCGTGACTGCGTGTGACGCCGAGTTTTTGACCGCGATGGAAGATGGCGTCACCTTCTCTCTTGCAGCGGCTTTGTGGACAAACCTCGAGAAACAGGCAAGTTCCGGAGGGCATTTCTTCAGTGGGTGAAGGAATGTGGATGCGCGTTAGGAACCAAATCGCCTGGACTTTTGGGTGTGGCGGAACCATTTCCTCCACAATCCTCAGGCTCTGCACGGCAATGGTTTGCACGCCTCATGTTTTTTTTGCATCAACACGCATTGCATTCGCCGCACCTGGAAGGTTATGGATCAGAAGAAGCAAGCGAACAGGCGCAAGAAACGGCAGTTGGAAGCCCAGGCCCGGCGATGGAAAATGTAGCGACCTGCTTGCGACCCTTCCCCCCCCTAGCACTGGATGTGAGGGCGGCCAGGGGAAGTTCGCCAAGGCTGGCTGGTGTGTAGCATGCCATTTTCTTTCCACCTTAGGAGCCAGATGCGGATAGCTCTCAAGCTGCCATAGAGCTGGAACTCGCTTGACACACTGCCGCAAACGGAGATGTGTTTGGGAACGCTTGAAAGACCGTTGGTATGCAACGTACCGGCCAGGAGGCGAAAGCTTGCAGCAGTTGTTGTATGGACACCTTCCGTCAGAATTCGGTCGGACCTGCAGTCTACCATCCCAACAGAGAGAGTCCGCTGACTTTCCCCAGGTCAGCAGCAGCCCTTGGGCCGGGACATCTGATCTGTTTCAGAGCAGCCAGGCCAGCCACGGGTGTATAGCAATTCGGCTGTGCAGTGACTTCCCAGTGACCTGTTGTCACCCACTCGGGTTGGTGTGCAACCTACCGGAGAGGAGGCGAAAGCCTGCAGCAATGGTTGTATAGACAGTGTAGACAGTGGAGACACTTGTTCGCGGCATGCCCGTGATGGATTCGTAGAACCATAACTTCCGGCAGGAAATCAGTCGGACCTGCGGTCTACCATCCCAACAGAGAGAGTCCGCTGACTTTCCCCAGGTCAGCAGCAGCCCTTGGGCCGGGACATCTGATCTGCCTTGGAGCAGCCAGGCCAGCCACGGGTGTATGGCAATTCGGCTGTGCAGTGACTTCCTAGTGACCTGTTGTCACCCGCTCAGTGTACACACTTGTTCGCGACATGTCGCGATGGATTCGTAGAACCATAACTTTTGGCAGGAGATCAGTCGGACCTGCGGTCTACCATCCCAACAGAGAGAGTCCGCTGACTTTCCCCAGGTCAGCAGCAGCCCTTGGGCCGGGACATCTGATCTGTCTCAGAGCAGCCAGGCCAACCACGGGTGTATGGCAATTCGGCTGTGCAGTGACTTCCTAGTGACCTGTTGTCACCCGCTCAGTGTACACACTTGTTCGCGACATGTCGCGATGGATTCGTAAAACCATAACTTCCAGCAGGAAATCAGTCGGACCTGCAGTCTACTATCCCGACTGAGAGAACCCGCTGACTTTCCCCAGGTCAGCAGCAGCCCTTGGGCCGGGACAGCTGATCTGTTTCAGAGCAGCCAGGCCAGCCACGGGTGTATAGCAATTCGGCTGTGCAGTGACTTCCTAGTGACCTGTTGTCACCCACTCGGGTTGGTGTGCAACCTACCGGAGAGGAGGCGAAAGCTTGCAGCAATGGTTGTATAGACAGTGTAGACAGTGGAGACACTTGTTCGCGGCATGCCGTGATGGATTCGTAAGAACCATAACTTCCGGCAGGAAATCAGTCGGACCTTGCAGTCTACTATCCCGACTGAGAGACTGCCTAACTTGGGCCGCAGAAACCGGGGATCGAGCGACACACGGCTTGGCCCGCTTCTGCAACGAGGTCTTTTGTTGAAGTGTTATGTTTTTTTGTTTTTGTCGTTTTTTTTGGTTAGTTCCTACATCGAAATTCCCTCTCGGTGTTTCAGGCCCCAAACGTCGCAAACAGCATGCTTTTGACTTAGCGGCGGGTGCCAGATCGCGCTTTCGTCTAGGCTTGCTGCATTCTTTACTCGAACTGGTAGTTCCCGGGCACTCAGGCGTACACAGCTTCATATCGTGAAATTGTGGCACTGATGCACTTTCCTGCATGTTGGGCTCTGGGTTGTCTGCATGCATCTGTTCTAGGGAGATTTGCAATAGGGGGATCTGCGTCTCGTAGATGATAATCTATTTCCTTTCAGTCTAACTTGTCCATGGTTCAATGGAAAGCTGCTCCACTACTCGATGCCATATGTTTCTCGTCTATGCAGTTGGGTTTCAAGAAGCTATATTTCTTTAGACTTCAACAGGCAAGCCTCCATTTCCTTTACACACTGTGTCGGTCCGAGAGTAGAACGGAGCTTGTATGGGAACTTGACCCGTGCCCTCAGATGGAAGTGGCAACATGTAGAGCCCATGTACATGGTTCCAAAGTACAGTGCGCTAGCTGTGCAACCTGGAACGTGTCAGAACCTAACCCTGACAGATGGAATAGCCCGCTGGAGTTTAGTTTGCCAGCAGGTTTCGGGTTTGGGTTTTAGGACGAACAGGCTGGGTGGTTGGGGGAAGGCCCTCTTATTTGCACACGCAATGCTCACTGACGGGTTTGGACCCATGTTGTTTACAGACCAGATATATGTGCAGCATAGAAATATATACTTATATGGCCCACCCCCCCCTCCCCCCCTCCCCCTTCCCCTTCCCCCGCCATGACCCATGACCCATGACAGACCAAGAAAACTGACAGACAATCAATGGGAGGAGTGACCCGTTACAAATTACAAATTTTATGTGATGTCTTAATGACGTACTTGTTATCTAGATTATTTATTTGTTACATGCATACACCCTTCAAAAGGCCCAAGTTCTTTAACACCTTGAAAGGTCTGAAACAAATCAGGAAAGCACCGTTTTTGGGGAAGAGTCCGAATTTTCCAAAGTTTCAAAGATCAGGAAGCCTTTGAACTCCTCACTTCTGAAAGGCAAGTTGCGTTCAAACATGTTGAAAAGCCCCTCAATTCTTCAAATCCCTGAAGTCCTTAATTGTTTAAGAGCGGCCTTTCCCAAATTTGAGACTTGTATTTTATACAGTCTTACAAAAAGAAGCATCTGACCCGGTCAGAGGAGCTTCGTTTTTGAAGCGCGAAGCTCGCGAAGCTTCAGAGCTTCAGGCGAAGCGCGAAGCTCGCGAAGCTCCCGAGCTTCACAGACTTCAGGCTTTAGGCGAAGCTCGCGAAGCTCCCGAGCTTCACAGACTTCAAGCTTCAGGCAAAGCCTTCAAGGTGTCCGTGGGCTCTGTGGTTCTGTTGCAAGATCTTGACAAAGAAATTCAAGGTGTCTGTCCTTTAGTGGTGATTTCCCCACAACACTGAAACACAAATCATACCTCTGGAAGAGTGGCCCGAGCCCCCAACCCCAAGGCGTTATTTTCATTGAAATAGGCCTGGGCTTATTTTCCCCACCACCCTTCCCCCCTCATGTTTGAAGCTTAAGAATTTGGTTCCGGAAGTGTATATTAAAACAGAGCCCGTGTCAATTAACATGGGCCCAGACCCTGGGATTCATCCCAAGACTTTCCTGCGAATCTTGGTTCTTGGTTCTTGCTAGCATACTTTTCCTAAAGAGGTTCCTTAGACATTAAAGCTCCCTGACTATTCGCAAGTTGGGTAATACCCCCCCCCCCCCACACAAGAAAACCCACCGCAAGTAAGAAACTCATCGCCATGAGTTCTGGGGGTTGGGGGGCGGGGGGAGGGGCAAACTTGATTCATTTGATTTGGTCTGATTCAGGGCAGCTTTCACGGTTCATTTTTCGTTATATTGCAAAGTGTTGAGTTCTTATTTCGTATTTATAGCTATACACAGATCAATTCTAACGTAAATTTGGTGGGGGTCAAATCCTAGATAAATACGTCCGATACAGAGGTTTTGAAAGTTTCTTGACTCGAACCTCTACATATATATGAGCACATTAAACTCTAATACGTATGTTTGGATTTACTCGATTCATTCAAATGGTCCGTTTTAATTAATACGGGGCCCGGGAACCAAGAACCAAGAACCAAGAATAACCCTAAACCCTAAACGTTTTAGGCTGTAGGAACAAAGGTTTGGATAGGGCTTGAACATGAAGGAGACACCCCGCAGGATGATTATTCCTGAACACTAATCATGGAAAGTATGGGAAGAGGGTCTTGGTGGCGAGGGAAGTTGCTTTGGACCAGGCTTCAGCCTGAATGTTTCAACAAATCGGATTTTCAGGAATGGGGGTTAGGATATACCCCTCAGGCACCGAAGCATGATTATTGTAAACGCTTGCGCGCGCCGACAGGAAAGGAGGAAAGAGGGTTTCGCAAGGGCAGAGGGGTTAAAGGGTGGGCGGGGGGGTGGGGGAGGGGTGGGGGGCGGGTGGGGGGGGGTGGGGGGGGGGTGTGGGGTTTTCCTGTAGGACACCGACAGGCGGGACCCTCCAACGGCATCGGTTTGCAGCTCCTCCAAGCGATTGGGGGGGGTCCCAAGGGCGGGGGGGGGGGGGGGGGGGTGGCGGTCCAGAAAATTCGCCTGGGGGGAAGGGTTGGGTTAGGGGGAAGGAGGCCCGATCCGGGTCTGCTTGTTCCAGACGTTTCTCGGCAGGAAGCCCAGGCGAATTCCTAAGCAATATTCTTTGAAAGTATGAAATAGGCTAAGGTCAGAAGAAAAGAGTCAGGGAAAAGGGTCTGGGCTTTAGCGAAATAGTGTAAGTTTATGGGCTATAGGTTTTCAGCCTAAACATTAAGGATACCCCCCACACGCACCGAAGCAGGATTATTCCTAACTTGAAAGTATGGGAATAGGGTCTGGGCATTCGTAAAATGCCTTTAGGGAGAAGGGTCTGGGCTTAACGAAACGCCCTCATAAGGTTATGAACGAAGATTCACCCTAATTCTTCATAAATTGTAGGGTTTTCAGGATTGGAAGCATGATTATTCCTAAGCAAATATGCGTTGAAAGTATGGGCACAGGGTCTGGCTTTAGTAAAGTTTGTTTAGAGAAGACGGTCCGGGCTTTAGCGAAATGCCTTTAGTGGCGAGGGAGAACATAAGGTTTGGGACTAGGCTTCAGCCTAAGCCTTCAAGAAATAGGCTGCATGACTATTCCTAAACAATATTCGTTGAAAGTATGGGAATAGGGTCTGGGCTTTAGCGGTGGCGCGGGAAAGTGAAAGATTTCGGAACAGGGTGTCAGCCTGAACCGTCAACGAATAGGGTTAAGTGAAATTTCTTTAGTGGCGAGGCAAAATGGGTTATGGACTAGATTTCAGTTTAAATTTTCACAAAATGCTCAAAAACATTATAGGATTTACAAATAGGAAGCGTACGGGAATGGGAAGCATGATTCTTCTCAAACAATATGCATTGAAAGCGTTGAAAGTATGGGAATAGGGTCTGGGCTTTCGTAAATTTCTTGAGGGAATAGGGTCTGGGCTTTGGCGAAATGCCTTTAGTGACGACGGAAAACAGAAGGTTTTGGACTAGGCTTCAGGCCAAACCTTCAATCTGAAAGTATCGAAACAGGTACTTGGGAATAGGATGTATGTCTAAACCTAAACGAATAAACTTAGGGAAGTTCTTCAACGTTGAGTGGAACTCTTGAAGTTTCAGCCAAGGGCCTATTTGTCAGCTACCGGGACAACTTTTGCGTACAGACGGCTTAACGTGGTATGCAGAGAAGTTAGGAGGCAAGCTTGGTGAACTTCTCCTGTGCGCGACCGCGGCGGGAGGGTCCACCATCAGCCTCCTCACACTGTCCTTTCCCATTGGTTTAAAGGGTGGCTCGCCCGATATTGAAAAAGGCACCTTAAAAAATTGCAGCTTTCGGGCGAAACACCCCCCCCTCCTTACACTGTCCTTACGGTGGGTTCTGAGGGGGGGGGGTAGTATATATATATATATATATATATACATCTATATATATATATGTGTGTATATATATAATATGTTTTTGGAGGAATGTTGTTCTTTGACGACATGATGTACTTGCAAGGGCGAAAAATGGCGGAGGGGCGGGGGGAGGTGGGGGTGGGGAGGGGAGGGCTACAGCCCCTACCCCATTTGCAAATGCAATGCTTGCAGGGTTTTTTGATGCAGCTCATCTTGATGGCTTGATGGCCCCTAGAGCAAGCTCCGATAGACTCATAAACGCAGGTGGTTTGGGCGGTGTGGGGGTTTGGCTCTAAAGTTTGCGGTTGCAGGGGCGGGCAAACACAAATGCTTGTACCACGGGTTTCGACAGGATTTGCCCAATTTGTCTGTTGATGGAGTGATGATCATTACAGTAAGATGGCATGGCTTTGAACACAATATGGGGAAAAGTGCACTTCCACCGTTCCCCGCCCCG